CTATATTGAATATTAGAGTTGTCTATGAATTAATATTATTTTCAAATAATAGGATAAATTTAATGTTCAATCGGTATGAAGATTGTGATATATTTGGAGGTAATAGCCGGTGTTATGATTAGATTAAACTATATCTGGATAGTTAAGTGATTAGATATAGATTATTGGATGTATTATTCAAGAGATAAAAAGTTAGAGTCACTCCACAGTTATTAATAAGGATAGTAACTAAAACTCTTACATGATTGATAATTCTAAAATCAAAAATGATTAATTGAGATATGAGTAAACTGATCCAAACACCCACAATAATAACTAACAGAAAATATTAGATTAAGGAAGGAAATCCGTGAAAGGTGGTGCTGTTATCTGGTTATAGTTGGTCCAAAACAAGAAACAAAAAATAATAATAAGAAGGTACTTAATGTTGACATTCACATGTGAAGGTGAAACACCATTCATATGAATCATATACGTACAATACTGCAGTCTAGTTGAACCTACATCTTATCAGGTTTAACTAGTCTATAGTGCAGTCGGATGTGAAGATATCATACGGCAAATTATGCTTTGTATTATATTGGTAAAAATTGATCTGGTTTAATTTTTATTTCAGCTTACATATAATATACATGTTCCAAATCGATCCTGTCCATTTTACATGTTTTATTATATGGTTTTAATATAGCAAATTATTTGGTGTAAGTAAAAGACGACATGTGATACAGTAGGGTAACTGACCAAGACAAAAAAGGGGATGGATAATTGAGAATCACTTAATACTTTATGTCTTTGTCTTTTCATTCTTTTTTAACTCTTTCAATATTAAAGATTGAGATTCCAGTAGATGGATTTGTAGGGCTAAAGACATGGCTTCTCCCATATGATATAAGTTGTATTGATTATCAAAAGGTTAATGACATTTATCTTGTTTAATTTAAGCATAATTACGTTTCACCCTTTCTTTCTTCATAAATAATAATAATAATAAGAGAGAACGACTTACACTTACTTAAAGTTTTTCGTAAAGACAAATCGGTACCCAAAAGAATTAGAAAAGACAAACAAGCACCTTCCGTCATGTGCAGTTAAGGAGTTCTATTTGCTAAAAGACAAAAATGATAGAAAAGACTGAAATACCCTTGGAAGTTTAATATTTTAGTTTTTATTAATTTATGGCCATTCAACTCATTCAATTAAATAAATACCCACATCATTTGTTGAATTATGATTATGCCATCAAATTATTATGAATTATTGAAATGACCAGTTTATCCCTATGAGTTTGTAGAAAATGAGATAACAAATGACCAATTTATCCCTATTTTGGTAGCAAAATTTCAAAGTGAATATATAAAAAAAAGCAGCAGAATAAAATTGTTCATTTCTGGCCAAAGCAATGTGTAATGAAATTTTTCATGATTTAAAGGAAATCATTCATACAAAAGAACATAATTTGTAATGAAATTCTTCCTAAGTTACAAATAAACAGAAATTACGAATTCAGTACAACAAAATTTGTTTACAAGGAAGATATACAAACAAGGTAGAAGCAATTTCCAAGATGCTTTTGTTACCAACTCCTAAATGTTGCATAAATCTTCCATTGTATTTGTTGAGTTACGTCTTCGACAATTTCCTCCAAGGGGTTCGCCATTCTGATTTCTGGAAAAGTATAGATAGACAAAGAGATACACCATGGTTTTCAATAACAAAACAAAAAGATGATCATAAATTAGAAATATAGCTACAACAGATAAAAATTATGATAAAGAACAAAAACAAATAACACAAACAAATCTACCATGCACAATTGCAGCCTACCCAAACAAATAAGGCCAAAATCCAACCACCAAAAACAAGTAGCTCAAATTTACCCAAGTAGATCAAGCCAAAATCAAAACATAAACAAACAATCAAACAATTATACCATGCATTACCAAACATTTATGAAAAATTAATATGTACAAGAATAAGAAAAAGGGTCACTCTCTCCATTGACTGGATTTTTCTTTCATTTTAGGGTTCAAGTTTCACTACAACATTTTTCATACATTGACTTGATACAAAATTGTAGAAAAACTATTAGTGAACCAAAACTATAAATACTAAATTTTTTGACTATATGAAGTTAATAGAGAACCCGATGCAATAACTTTTAAAACTATAAATATATTTTAACACTTGATTTAAGCAATGTTGCCACCTTATACCAGCACCATGCCCTAAGGCAGAGACCATGAACTAGAACAAAGTGCAACAAATCCACCGCGATGCAAACTAGTGCTCCACATCGTAACCAGACAAATCGCAGCCGTCGAATTTGTTTCCAGTTGCTGTGATATCTTTTTTATGACTTTGATCCGTCAAAATGTTTTTGGTTTAATCCAACAGAGAAGAAGAAAGAGGGAAACAAAGAGATGGAAGAAAAGAGAGAAAAAAGAGAGAGGAGGAAGTGAAAAAATTAAAAAAAATAAAAGAGAATGGAAATACGGAGAAAGACATGTAAAATTTAAAAATTTTGAGGGTGTAGATGAAATTACTATATTGTCCTTTAGCAAATGGGAATCATTAGCAGAATATGACGAAAAATGTTTGTTTGTCATTTCCAAACTTTTTGGGTACCAATTTGTCTTTAATAAAAACTTTGGATAGGTGTATATCGTTCGGCCTAATAATAATACCCAGCACAATTATTCTTGTCTTGCCCTTTGTCTCTCGTCTCCACCTACCCAATACAAGAAGTTCATCTATTTGATAAGTGCTCAAAAATACACTTTTACTTGGTGGTTTAATGATATTATTTGTGGGAAATTAGGTTTTAAGTTGTGTGATTTTACTTAATTATTTCATAAATGTGTTTTATGGGATCACAGATATGTTTTGTGTATTTTTAGATTATAAATACTTAAAAAGGATATTCGGATGAAGAATTATGTTGGCGACGAAATTGTGATGACTATGAACAAACGAATCGAGAATCGGAGTTGAAACGAGAAAGCTATAGTGTTTCGATGATGAATTGCAATCCTAGAACATGCTTTAGTATTTTTACCATAACTTGACATGTAGATCTCATATTTGGATGAATATTAAATTATTGGAAAGAGAACTCGAAGGGCTACAATTTTTATGTTTACGACTTTGCAAGATTCACATGAGATCATGCTCAATTTTTCACATCTTTACTAGTCACGATGAATGTGTTTAGAGGCAAGACGGAAGTGATGCAATTGTGCACTTGCCGTAGCAAATAAATGTTTCACCACAGTGAACGTCCTAGAATCCAAATTTTATGCGATTTTGTAAAGTTTTATCCGAGTTTCATTATCCTAACTTGAATAGGATTGTCCCAATCACACTCTTAAAACCCTAGCACTATATATAGACATTTTTAGCTATTTTTTGGGGGAAGAGAAGAGAGAGAGGGCTGGCTACAATTCTAGAAAATCAAAGCAATCATTCGTGAAGCTTTGGATCATCAATTAAAGAAGTTTTCTTTTACTCTTTCTTGAACCTATATTTGTTATTTTTATAATTTTTGTTTTCATGACAATTATGATCTAAATGATATTTTCTAGGGTTAAGATGTAACCCAATTTATGAATATGTGTTGATTAGTTATTGTTAATATTTGTTAAACATATCTTTTCTAAGTTTTATTATTGTTTTTAGTGCTTTAATTATTTTAGGTCTGATAGTTGATTAATCTAACGGACTAGGTTGAAATCGAGAGATGGAATCTACTTAGTTTAATATAATAAAATCATAGATTGAGTGAACGTTAGAGATACGTTACCATGATTCATGTGACTTTGATAAACTCCATAGGTTTTAATGATCTCTTAAGACCTAAATCCAATTTAGAGATATCTTGAGTTGGTAATAAATGGTTAATCTGGTAATTATTTGAGAAAAAGTTATTAGAATTGGTTGATCTATAGAAAAAGCTTAATAATGTAAGTAATATTTGTCAATGCATATGAGTAATTTGGTGTGAAATCTGTGGCTTATGTTTAATCATATTGCTTCACAACCAAAGTGCTATTTAAATTTTTGCTTTTGTTTAGTTTTTGGTTTGTTTTAATTTTAGTTTGGTCATCCTTTGAAATTCTAATTAATTAAATAGTAATAAAATATATTAATTTGGTACTTGATAATAGTAATTCTCTAGGGTTTTACATCTGTTTACTTAATTGTATTACTTTTTACTTACATGATTTCATACACTTGCGAAACCCTTGTCATTGTTCAACTCAAAAGGATAAATAATAAAATCACCAAGCATACATAATGGATTTATTTTAATGGATTAAAGTGGGCTAGGTTGAATTTTGCTCAATTCCAAGTTTTGTTGAATAGTGAATCTATTTTAATGGATTAAAAAAGCTTCACTTTTTAATAAATTTTATAATGTTAAATTTGTCCCTATTTTAATTATAAAAATTAATTTGAATTTTCTATTTTTTACAAATACTTTTGACACTCCATTATTATCTCATAAATCTTATTATTATTTTTTTCTATTCACATTATCCGAAATTATAAGTTTTTAATTCTTTCATATATAAATTTATTATTGTTTTTTCTTCAAAGTATTGGTAGCTATTTTAATATGTATATATATATTTTTTTATATTATAGAACTGTGTTATGTTCTTGGATTATTTGTAAGGATTTTTCTTAGCTTTAATTTTTTCTGAACTTTCAATCTAATTATCTAAAAGTTTTATTTTAGAAAAATAATGATAGTTGGGGGCATACATTATAAATGAAGGAAAAATATTAGTTCTTTTAAAATAAAAATAAAAAATTGGAGTAAAGGGTGTTTATGAAATTTAAGAGGTGACATAAAAAAAAAATTAATTTTAAAACTTTGAAATGAAATTTCTTTAAAAATTGGGTTTCTTTGGCTGCATAGTGGGCTTTCAATAGCTCCACTCTTCATTGAAACCGTTTAGTTAGCGTTAGTGAGTCTATTAAAATATCAAAAACGTTTGGGGAAAAAATGTTTTCACAGTTTTCACTTTTTGAAACGCAGCACTCCGTTCATCATCTTCATGTACCACGCTGTCAATAAAGCACAGAACAAGCAGAAACCCTCACCATTCCACAATCATGAATCTTCTTCGAAACGCAATCAAATCGAGCCTTTCGCTTCGAACGATCAAGCCAAGTCATGGGCTCCCATTTTTTCATCGCGAATCGCCGAAACGTTTCTCGACCGAAACGGAAACGGAAACTCCAGCCTCTGCAGACGGTTCATCTGTCGATCAATTTCTTCACACACCAAACAAAGGTGATTTCAGTTTTGCAAATTTGAGAATTTACTTGAGCATTTTACATTTTCTTTTTGTCAAAAATTAGAAAATAGGGTTTAGGGTTTTTACCGAACTTAAATGATAAAGAAAGTAAAGTTATCCTCTCTATGCATTTTTTTTTCCTAATATATCAGATGCGGTGTATGGAAAACTGATTGGCCCTACGAAGCACACATTGAAGAGTGATATAATTAATCTGCTGGAAGGCAGTAAGTTGACGCCAGATGATGTTAAAGTAAACTACTCACGGAACTATACGCCCATTGGAATGTATTGTTCTCCTTGCTTTGTTTATGTTTTATTTGATTGCTTATTCAAGTTTTTTCCATTGACCATTAAATTGCGGAAAACAGATTTTGTTTGAGCTTTTTATTAATTGAAGTTTGTTGTTGTGATAAGAATGGTACGATTCCCGTCACGTTCAGCCTTTGATAATGCTTTTAGGCAAATTGCAAAGAATGGTCGCTTTTACAGATTGGACAAGGTAATGTGGTTATTAGTATTTGCCAGTTTTGAAAGATCATATTATGCTTGTATATGTATTTTTTTTTTCAATGGATCTTATAGCTTTGCGTTTTAATAACAGGTTGATCGTTCGTTCTGGGATAATGTTATGCCGTATGATGGGAAAACTGTAAGTCAAGTTCTTCACTTTGTACCTGTTATATGTTATTGTCATATGGTGTTTCAGTTTGGAAACATCAGTTATTATAATGTTAGATGATTTTTAGTTTGTTGCACAATGTTATCAAATGGAAGTTGAGCAAATCATATATAAGGCATTTGAGTGAGATGTTTCTTGTTGTAAATTAAGATGAAGTCACACATTTTGTTTTGTTGTTAAAGATACTGTTGTCACGAATTATATGCATTATAATTTCTGTGATATTATACATGCCACTTTGTAAGATAAGAAAGTGAAGGTGTGAACTCTCTCTTAGGATTATGTTACTGTGTTAGTATGGTGGCTGTATGAGGCACCTTTCAAAAATGACTTTAGTTTTTTAGTTTTCTTGTGAGATTTGTTCTGTCCTGAGGTGTATGATTTTCTTGGGCGGATTCATATTATAGTTTGAAGGTCTGTATATGGTTATTTATAAGCGTTGGTTTTGAAGCCAAAAAAGGATAAATTTTCCAAAGAAATTTATGGCTTCATGCTGCTGAGCGGCCATTTGGTTTGTTTGCCATCCTGCAAAAGAATTGATCGCATGGCATTGTTTGCTGCTGATTGCTACATAATGAGCCAGTGGCAATTGCATTATCTTGTTTGAGAATATGCCAATGTTTGTGAAAAGGAGAAGTTAAAATTGGTCATTAAAGTGTTCTCGGTTTTTTTTTTTTTTTCAGTTGATTTTGATGCCATATCTACATTTTGCAGAACATCTTCATGCAATTTGAAGATTGCTTGCTCATGCATTGCTTTTACCTGTTGGCTATCTCCTGATATTTCTGTTTGTGTCAGGTATTGCTGCAAGGAATTCCTCAAAATGCTTATCCAGATGACATAGACAACTTTCTCTCTGGCTGTGAATATGATGCATCATCCATCCAGATGTTTATAAGGTTAGCCTGGAATTCTACATCGAAGCAAGACAATCTTGCTTGTTATATCTTATCGTGTTCATATGCTGAATCTTTTTTAATTACTGTTGCAGGCCGGGAAACCCAGAGCTCATTAGAATGGCAACAGTTTGCTTCCCCTCACAGACACAGGCAATGAATGCATTCCTTAGGAAGAATAGAGGCTTCTGTCTCAATAATCAAATTTTAATGCGAGTTCTAGTGTAATTGTCTTTTTGTCCCTTAACTGGTGGCATTGCAATGTGATCAATCATAAGGGTTAAATCTATACAGTGCTTTGAACAATGTTGAGTATTTGTTTCAGTGTTGCATATTTGGAAAAACCTTGTTCGTTAAGGGACATTAAGAGTTCAATATTTTTGTTTCAAAGCAAGTAACTTTTCTATGTTTCAATTATTAGTAGGACCAGAAGGGTAACTACTATTTGTTGGACTAGATTTTTGTGAAATAACTTGATTAATTTTTGGTTTGGGTCCTTTATTTGTTTATTTTTTTTCCCAGTTATCTGTGGTTAGATTATGTGGGTAGAGGTTTTCGGGGTGTGTTTCTTGCTTTATATTCACTATTAAGTTGCCGGGGCACAGACTATCTCTGCTTGTTTCATTCTCAACCGTGTTAGTACTTTGCTGATACTGCAAGGATAACTTCTACATTCAGTCTGTTAAATTGACCATAAATAATTTGATGATATTTTAGCATTGCTAACAAGTAACAAAAACTGCATATCAAAGTGATGTATAATCGCATTTGTCGTACAAAGTCGTTAACTTTTACACAATTATGTCGTGTATTTAAGGAGCAGCATCAACAACTTCTTGCTGCATTTCAGGCTCATAGCCTAAAGATTTCATGTGATCAACCAAACAATCTACCACAGCAAGAATTTCAGCCAGCCTAGTAATTGACTTATCTTCTGCTCTAAATCTGTAAAGAGCATTCTTAATCTCAATCCAACTGTGCCCAGGATTTGTTTTCAGTCCTTTATCTTTCATCAATTTCCTCACCCTTGCTGCCTGATCCCAGAACTTGACACTCGCGTACAGATTCGCCAGTTGCACATGAGTAGCAGCACATTCCGGTTCCAGCAGCAGTCGGCTCTCTGCAGCCTGTATACCAACCCAGACATCACCATGAAGCCTGGAGGAAGCAAGTAGCGAACCCCATATGACAGCATTGGGATAAATAGGCATCTTTTGGATGAAATCTTGCGCCTCTTCAATCAAACCAGCCCGCCCAAGAAGATCAACAAGACACGAGTAATGGTCTAGTTCTGGCTCTACACCATGTTCAACCATGGAATTGAGGTACCCTTTACCCTTTTCAACGAGGCCGGCATGGCGACATGAAGAGAGAACACTAAGAAAAGCAATGGCATCGGGTTTAACCTTTTGTTTCTTCATCTCTTCGAAAAGATCAATTGCCTGTTCTGCAAGCCCATGCTGAGCATACCCCGCGATCATGGAATTCCATGATACAATATCTTTAGTATGCATGTTGTTGAACACATAAAATGAATCTTCAAGACTCCCACACTTACAATACATGGAGACAAGAGCATTAGCAACTTGAATGTACGAATCAAAACCCATTTGAATACTTTGACAATGGGCACTTCTTCCCTGCCCAAGAGCTCCACTGCCCGTACAAGCACTCAAAATACTCGTGAAAGTAAAATCATTGGGTTTTGAGGTTGAGTTTCTCATCATACGATAAAGCTCCAAACACATTTCAATCTGCCACTCCTGAGCAAACGCTGCAATAATCGCTGTCCACGAAACTACATTTCTCACAGGCAATTCCTGGAACACTTTATATGCAGCAACCATCTCACCGCATTTACTGTACAAACTGATCAATGAACTCCCAACATAAACATTGGCGACATACCCACTTCTTATTGCTAAGCAGTGGTATTGAGCACCGCCATGGATGTCACGTGCAGACCCACATAAGCTCACGGCATTTGACAGAACACTTTCCTTGTGTAAATCACGGTGCGTAATGATCGAGTTCGAATTCTCGACATCATAGTCAAACATTTCATCAAATACATTTGATAATCCAGCCGTTGAGTTTGAACAAACGAAATCATTCCCAAAATGTTGCCCCACATCGAGGTGGTTCGAATCTGTTTGAAGAAAATCCTGAATGAGTCGAAGATGGGTTTGGCCACTTGAACTGACTTTTGTTTTGGGCGATATGATATCTAGCACTCTCAATGCCTCGTCTAATCTCTTACTGGGAGTTCTTTGTTTTAATTTTTGCGAATAGAAAGGCCTATAGTGAGTTAGTGTTCGAAGACATTGTATAGCAAAAGAAGGTTTCTTCTTCGTACATGTTTGAAGTGAAATATTCATAACTGAAAATACCCCATGGATGTATACAGCTCACTTTTCATCGTTGAGCATTTGATTCGTGGTTTTCTTTATTGCGAGGTTGACTAGCCTCTGTGTTGCTCGAGCCCATATATGTATATATAAAGTAATTTTTTTTTTCTTTTTTGAATAATACTATTCATCGCAGCCATTTTTGGTTTTGAGTAATGCTGCTCTCATAAATGTTTTTTTCCAAATTTCATAGGCGTCACCAAGTATGTATTTTTTTTTTTTTTTTTTGAAAACCGTGGTATCCGAGCCAATCTATACTTACTTCAACTAATTAAGCTCATTGAACACATTACAAACCCAATATTTTAAATAAGTTACAAATGTGATAGATGACCCTTGCATGATTTGAACTCAAGAAGTCACTTAAGAGAGTAAACCTTTTTTACTATCAGATCAATCTTATATGAGTATTGACATACCATTCAATGCATCATCACATTATTTATATATTAATATCACGTATGATAACACATCATTTGAGATATGAACTTACATATTAGTTATTATAAATAAAAAAATATAAAACCTATAAATAAAAAATATAAATTTGTAATATCCATTTTCAGATAATGTATAATAGCCACAACTCACAAGTCCACAAGGACCACAACCATGGCCAATACATTAATTCCAGATATATCTAAAAGAGCAAAATCCTTTCTTCCATGGGTTCAAAGTTCAAACCATAACCTTCCAGTAAAACTTATTACAGTATGGATGACAACAGTATGGATGACAGTTTAATGAAACTAAATCATCCGTATGACAAAAAGAAAATTTCTACCGTTGACATTAGAACCTATATCATTACAGGAACTAATTCTAACCATTACATCAACAGCTCCTCACACTTACTGTACCATCAGCCGAAAAGTCATCTTCTTCTCTTTCTCCATGTAAATAAACCCATAACTTTGTAACTCCATTGAATTGTACACAAGGATCAGTTTCATAGTGCAGACGATCCAGGCCATGACTAACAACTTGATTAAGTTGTTCATCAGAGATACCTTCCACCATATATTGTGAGTCCCTCACAAGAATACAAACATCAGCCCTTGTACCCATTCTAGCAGGCAATCTGGCGGCTGCATCCCTCACAAGACAGAGAACCGTTACATGAGGTGGCCGATCATCTCTAAGCATATAATGGCCTCGGACTTTTGATGATGGCTTCCCACTGCTCCTTCTCAAAGGAGCAACTGTGGACTTTCTACCATCCAATGCTGTATATGAAAATGCTCTCTCTGGAACTGAATACCGAAAAGCTTCCTCCTTCTGAAAATAGGCCCTTACTTCTTTAGAACATGGACTAATGGTGGCAATACACTTCCTAGGTCTTACAACTCTTAGCCTTTCCTCCAAATTTGGAGTTCTTTGCATTGAAATCGCAGGTGGGGCAGGAAGGCTTCCAATTTGTTGAAGTGTTTGATAAAAACTCCTAAGCCAATTAGAGAAAGAATCAACCAATTTCAGAAGCGTTCTGCACGGGATACCCCAAGATTCAGCAGATGCTTGTTCCTTGATGGCTTCATTTGGATTAAAGGAAACTGGACCGATCCAGGACCAACTTTTTCTAGACTTCGAATATAATGCAAGTGCCTGCCAGCCCTTAGCACCAGGAGGCCCTAGCTTTGAAGAAAAGATATCCAGAGCTCCTCTCACTAGATCCTCAAGTGGTTCCCGGGCTTCAAGAATACAAGGATGTCCTGGACTTGTCCTCACCCGCTCAACAATCTCGTTTATGGTGAGAGAAGGTAGGTTATTTTTCCCTGTTTGACCAATGTTACGATTGTCTTTCTCAAGATGCTTGCTGAATGCTATGGTATCATCTTCTGCATCTAGAGTAACCATTGCTGTGCGAATGGCAGAAAGAAAATGTATAATGGAGAATGAGAATCCCTTATGAAAAGTGGAGCTCATTGGAGATAATTCTAGTTTCTTCAAAGGCTTTGTTTCTGGAGCTGCACAAACCTTGGCTCCACTTTTTGAAAAGAATGAATCAGGAATTAACCTGGCTGAAGAACCAGCATCAGTTTTCTCCTTCTTGAAACCCTGTTTCTTCAAAGCACAAATAGGCGGTTCATTAATGACTCCTCTCGACTTGAAGTGACAGCGATCAGATTTAACTACCCAACCCATGTATGATACATCTGCTTTCTTCTTCCTCTGCTTCTTTGGTACTCTGCCACTTCCCAACAATGAGTTGCCTACTGTATTGCAAGCATTCCCTTGACAAGTTTCAACAGGCTGCTTGTCTTTGTTCTGCAATTTATTAATCAATTCAGTACCCTCCAACATCTTATATGTTTCATTTGACTTGCCCTGCTCACCAACATCATCATTCATGTACTTTGATTGGAGCAAAGAAAAGGAATTGCCAAGTTTTCTTTTCTTCTTGCGCAAGCTACCATTGTCTTCCTCCATATCTTCAACTGTCGGTTGCTGGAACGTCTCAGAACGCCTAGCTTTGCACCCAGCAACCTGAGGATATTTACCGTATGGAATTTTATCATTCAATTGATCTATCATCACACCACCTGTCATCCAATTAGCACTACGGTGCCCTCTGTTTGAATATGATGGCGACCCCCAACTATCACTGGCCAGTTTCATCAAAGCAAGAGCTGCTTCTTCACAGGTTAATAATTGCACGCCAACCTTACCTCTTTTTAGATGTGTTCCTGCGTGATAAGAAACACCAAATTTTTTGCCTTGCACTACCTGACCCTGATGAGAAAGATCCAGTAAAGAACCACCTGATCGAAGGAGAATTATTTTGTGCCCTAACTTACTAGAGTGACATTGACTTGACACCTTTTCCATCGCTGAAACATTTGACTCCACATGCTTCATTCTCTTCACTAAACTTGGATTTCCATCTNCATCAAAGCAAGAGCTGCTTCTTCACAGGTTAATAATTGCACGCCAACCTTACCTTTTTTTCGATGTGTTCCTGGGTGATAAGAAACACCAAATTTTTTGCCTTGCACTACCTGACCCTGATGAGAAAGATCCAGTAAAGAACCACCTGATCGATGGAGAATTATTTTGTGCCCTAACTTACTAGAGTGACATTGACTTGACACCTTTTCCATCGCTGAAACATTTGACTCCACATGCTTCATTCTCTTCACTAAACTTGGATTTCCACCTTTTTTGAGTTTCAAGGTCACGGGCCTATATCGAGAAGAATCATTTGAGATAGATTCATCATCTATGGTAACTCTTTCTGGTACTCTTGGAACTCTGACCATCTTCCCCGTTATAACCACCAAACAAGAAAAATTCCTGCTGATACCAAAATTTTCACACTTGAGATCAGAAAAGAACAATTCTGAAAGGAACTGGTTGATTATAAACAATATGAAGTAAAAAGAACCAATATATTGAACAAGGATTCCTCATATTATTTATGAGATGACCAAAAAGCAAAAAACTCTACCAAGCCTAACAGGCTAACATAACCTTTTGTCATGATTGAGTATGTCATTCCTTTTTCATTAAATGAAAGCATAAAGCACAAGATACCACAACCATTTAGCAAAAAGTTTACCAATGTTCCCAAATTTATATCAAAAGCTGTATTTCAAGTGATATGACAATAAGTTCGCGATCGTCAAATTAGTTGTCACGATCGTCATATTAATTGTCACATATTTTCATAGACACGTGACTAAATTGATGTCATTTTTTTGAAACGTGTACTACATTTCCATATTTATATTCAAATTATACGTTTCAAGTGATGTGACAATGATTTAAATATCAATGATTTGACAATAATTTAGATGCCATATCAATTGTCATATTATTTCAACATCCACATAACATCACTGAATTAATGCTTTGAGATTGAACACAAACTTGGAAAAGATAATATAAATTGGCACTTTGCTATACAAAAAGCTAGAGGGAAACATATTCTATTATCTAACATTATTCAATCATCCAAACAAAAGAAGAGTTAATTCTTTCATCACATAAACCACAAAAGAAGGCAAAATCAAGACAAAGCAAGATAACACATTCTAAAAACCTCAGTATTTTTTCCGTAACACAAGTACAAAAATAAACCATCATCCATAACACAAATACAAAAATAAACTATCATCACGACCCGCTTTGGTTACAAAGAATTAAGGGTAAAGAAAACTTGTATATTGATTTAGTTTGTTCTCACAAAGTGAATGTAACACAATGACAACTCTTTGTGCCTTGGCTGACTTTTCATAATATATAAACGACCCACATAACGTTAAACATAGAGACTCCATATTGCATGTTCATTTCTAAGAGACATGGACTGAAAAGAGTTATCAAAAAGTTACCTTGTGTTATTTTCTCAGGAAACAAACAGAAAATGAGGGCATTAAGAGCAGAGAACCTTAGGAAAATATGACAAAGAGTGAGTGTGAGACTGAGGTTGAAGAAGGAAGAGGAAGAGGGTGATGAGATGTTTATATGAATCACGTCACCAGGAAGAAGAAGATGCTGAGGTGGATGAATGTGGGGCCTTGGATGAAGAGAAGTTGGACTTACAAATTGAAAAGTCGGATGAGGACAATCGATATGGAGCGGGACTAGAAATGGAAAACCAAGAGGTGGGGCCTCATTAGGAAATTTACAAGTGTTTTGATTTGCTCAAGATTTGTTTCCACTAGGGTTTTTATTTTATTTTTTTCTCAATTGAAAGGAGAAAATAAATCTTGTAAATACTGTATATAGTATATTATTAAATGATTTGTTTATATTAAGAAATTACATAATATAATTTACTGTACTATTTTTACCCCTGTCAGGACTTAGGATGGGTAGGAAATGTTTTTTTCAAAGTTTATGGGTGTAAAAGTAATTACGGAAAACCTTGGGTGGGATAATTATTCACTCAATTTGAAAAGTGAAAACCCTTGAAAGCAGTTTATCAGAATCTGTGTTGCAATTCTACGAGGGCATTTGTATAATGATTCGCAATCAAATACCCATTTCAAGCTGAAAATTGAAATAATTCGTGAGTACTTTNAAAAAAAAAAAAAAAAAAAAAAAAGGAATGAACTCACTGTCTCATCACTTCTTCCAGTTAACCTTAGATGTTGCAATATAACATGATCTACAGGGAAGAAACCCATGGTTGCTCCATAATCAGGAGACATGTTTGCACAACAAAGCTACGGACACCGGTTTTTTGGCACCGAAAATGTGTACCGGCCTACATGTCCCCTTAACTCACACCAGCAATCCAGACGCATAATTAAATAATAAATATTTTTCTAGTGACTGGCCGTCTATCAAATATGGACGACCGTTCACTGACATGGACTCCTGTCCATATTATATGGACAGGGGTTTATTTACTACGGATGGGCGTCCCCATTTAAAGGACGTCCGTCCATAAATAAAATGCAATAAAATATTTTTATAAAAATTAGAGACGACTGTTAATCCGTTATGGACGGCCGTCCATTCATTTTGGATGAGCGTCCATAAATAAGGGATGCCCGTCCTTAACCCAAATATGAAAATAAAAAAAACTTTGGGGATACCCGTCCATAAATTATAGATGACCATCCCTTACATTTTGGATAGGCGTCCGTTATTTTTCACTGTTAAAAAAACTTTGGGGACGGCTATCTCTTACTTTTGAACTGGCGTCCGTCCATTATTTTGGTTTTTAAAAACTAAAGAAAAAATTTGTTTGGACGGACGCCCGTCCATTAATAATGCACATCACAATAAAAAATAACATTTCCTTTTTCCGCCACGTTCCTCTCACTCACCTCCTTATATCACCATTACTCTTTGCTCCATCTCTCACAATCTTTTTCATCTTTCTTTCCCATTTCGTGATCATCAACAGTTACAGTCGTCCATCATGTCTGATCGTCCAAGGTCCATGAGTTTGACAAGGAAAGTGGCTGGTACAGGGTGCTGTATGAAGATGGCGATTCTGAAGATCTTGACTGGCCTGAATTGGAAGAGGTGCTTTTGCCTCTAGACATTTCAGTACCATTGAAAGCATTGGCAATGAAAATCATTAAGAAGAACCAAAACCTATTGATATATCTGAAACCAGTACGGCTTTTGTTACAGTGTCAGACAAAACAAAGACACTCTGTATGGAACTTCATACTAGTGTAAAAATGGATGACTTTTTTGATAGAAAAGCTTTGATTTCACTTCCTCTTCGCAATATGACTTGTGAGCTTGCTCTCCCATAGTTGTTCTCATAATGTAGTTTCTGAAAACTTTTGGTTGAATATTGTTAATTTCATTTACTGCTCTGGAAACTATTATCTTAAATTACAGTGAAGCTTGGAGGTTAGGGAAAGAGATGAATCAGCTATATGATTGACTTGAACAATATTTATGGATATGATGCTGTGATATTTTTGCTTGTACAACTTCTTTGTTTGGTTGACGTGTGCTACTGTATAATTGTAATTGCAATGTTCTACCAATCTCCATTGCAATTAGTCAATGATAAACGGAAGACCAAAAAAGAATAAATACCGTGTATGCGTCTAATTAGTCAATGATCTTTACCCTCAGACCTCATCTAGAAAGATCACCCCTTTTAATTTTGAGGAAATATGCTAAAACAATTTAATTTAAAAGCTAATTGTAGGACTGCAATTAAAAACACCGACTGTACCCTGAGAGAGAGAGATAAAACTATCCGTTTTTAACCAGTAAATGGTCCGAGGGAGGAGTCTTCATGCGGCACTACCTCCAGGATAGAAATCTCATTCTGCCCTGGAAATTTAAGATAATAGTTTCCAGAGCAGTAAATGAAATTAACAATATTCAACCAAAAGTTTTCAGAAACTACATTATGAGAACAACTATGGGAGAGCAAGCTCACAAGTCATGTTGCGAAGAGGAAGTGAAATCAAAGCTTTTCTATCAAAAAAAGTAATCCATTTTTACACTAGTATGAAGTTCCATACAGAGTGTCTTCGTTTTGTCTGACACTGTAACAAAAGCTAAACACAAACAAACATGAATGACCAAGGACATAGTATTTCCAGCTTTAAATTTACCTAGCAACCCGGCTTTACAAATCTAGACTTCTTTTGAGAAGTTTTGAGGGCATCTCTGTAACTTTGAAGACAAACTTTCTTATCAGTTGCCTTTCTTCAGTCGATCCAGTGCTTCTGAGTTGTATGAATCAGCTTTTGGAATGGTGCTATCTATTCACTCACCTCCTATGATCTAACTATATTTATAACCGGAGCTTCTTGTGCATCAACATTCTTTCCCTTACTTCCCATTTTTCTGGTCTTCAGTTTTCGCAATGGAGCTGTACTGCTTTCAGATATATCAATAGGTTTTTGGTTCTTCTTAATGATTTTCATTGCCAATGCTTTCAATGGTACTGAAATGTCTAGAGGCAAAAGCACCTCTTCCAATTCAGGCCAGTCAAGATCTTCAGAATCGCCGTCTTCATACAGCACCCTGTACCAGCCACTTTCCTTGTCAAACTCATGGACCTTGGACGATCAGACACGATGGACGACTGTAACTGTTGATGATCACGAAATGGGAAAGAAAGATGAAAAAGATTGTGAGAGACGGAGCAAAGAGTAACGGTGATATAAGGAGGCGAGTGAGAGGAACGTGGCGGAACAAGGAAATGTAATATTTTATTGTGATGTGCAATATTAATGGACGGGCGTCCGTTCCCGAAAAGCTAATCATAGGTTCTTCTCTCCATCGGAATTATGCTGATTACTAAACTTGTCAAAGAGATGAAACAAAACCAAGTATATATTTTTTATCAGAGGTTGAATCGATCATTAGAAGAAGAATTAGGCCAAAAATTAGGATACATTATGGGAAAATAAAACTTTCATCGAAGAGAAGCAAATAAAAGGTTTTCATAAAAATTCTCATAGAATTGAGAATGAATTCATTCTGTACCTGTCAGATCATTAATTAGTAATTGCATCCAATCTTAAAAAAAAAAAAAAAAAAAAATCTCAATTGTTTCGAACTTTCTATTTTTGGAATAGAATTAGTAGCCATTTCTCGTATTCTATGAAGATGATATCTATCCAGTGTGATGTATGGAATATATGACAAAGGTAGAGTGTTGGAGTATTTCTATTGATTGATCATGTCATATAGGCCCCAATCGGACATCCAATTGCTTCGATTTGAATTATCCGGAGGATGTCTTCTATATATTAATATTATATCAAAAAAATGGACTATCAAACCGATTTCTCAATTCAATAGAAGCCCAAAGGGGTAAATAGAGTCCCAAATAACGAGAGATATTTTAGTCTCAATTCTTGACAATTAAAAATTGTCAAGGATTAAGTATATAAAATCAAAAAAAAAAAAAAAATTCCTAAAACTTTTCCCGCCCATGTTTTGCCACCAATTGTTCATTAACTATTTCCACAATTTTTTTTCTTAAAACTTATGCTTACCCCCTATTTTGACCTATTTTCGGCACTAGAAAAAAGTTCTCGTTTCTACCACTCTGGTTCAGTAGACGACGACTCGTTTAGTGACTCTAACACTTTCTCCATGCCTATTCTGACGGAGTTTGTTAATTTTGATGAGTTTTCTCGAGGCATATCCCCAACATCCAAATGTAAGAATGTTCAAAAAAATATAGAAACCGAGCCGAACCGGAAACTGAAGTGGTTTATTGGTTATCCGAGAAATCGATTCGGTTTTGATCTATAGAAATAGAGAAAACAGAATTTTCAATTTTATTAACAAGTAAACAATTTTTCGTTATAATTAAAAAACAATTTAAATTAAAAATATTAAAAATCTAAAATTAAAGAAAATCAAAACCTCAAAATTTCCACCAAGGCAAATTCTCCCACCCATTTTTCATAAAAGTCAAAGCCAGGGTTGTAAACTATTGAAATAACCCATTTCTTCTCCCAAACTTCCAGCGCCCAAAAACCCATTCTGCCGCCCCAATTTCTTCCTCCCCAAAACCAGAAGAATTTCCCTCTCTTCCACCCAAAATCTCTCTTTGTCGCTCTTCCACTGGATCGCAGAAGCTCTCTAAAACAAACCAAAAATGTAGAGATTCATTTCCCTGTCTCCAATCTCAAGAAAAATCAATTCTCAAATTCTAGTGTTAGATTTTGGCTTCCAAAATTCTCTTAATCCATCCATTCATCACCGATCGATCTTACCGCCACCTTTCCCGCGTCGTTTTTACCGTCTGATCAACCCCCGTTCTTGCTAAATATGATCTTTTAACTTGGTTGTTCACTGACCTGAGTAAAGCGAAATTGTCATGTAAAGTACTACATCCATTTTAAAACCCACTTGATCAAATGAGATGGTTTAGATAATTTTAATTGTTTGAAATTTTGTCGTATACTTCTCGAGAGCATGTGAAGCAATGTATCAAAAGCATTGGGCATCGGTCAGTGGATCTCCCGAGAAAAAAGCAAGGGTTAATTCGTACTCCTCTTTCAAAGGTAACTGCTTTGGTAGATAATGAATAGTTTCTGTGGGATTTGAGGTCATCTGCGCAAAGCATTAATGTGATTGCATATTTATTTGTTGTTGATTGTAGGTGCTTCTTGATGTCGGTAAGACTGAAAGAATCATATTTGCTCAGCACTCAGGTCTCGAGGCTTCCCAAGAAGCCATAACTGAATATCGAATGCTAAGTCCAATGATGAATGGATGCTCATGGATTGAATTGCAACTACTTACTAGCTGAAAGTATCAGGTACCATGAAATATGTATCATTTATAATGCGGTACAAAGCTACCTAATTGAATAGAAATTTTTCAACTTATTTAATCAATAGACATGGATTTAGCTGTTTACAAATTTTTTAGATATTCATCAATGACCTGAGTTTGATTTGAGACACGGTGGATAGGAAACCAACTGAGTCGGAATGAGTTGGGTAGTTTTGACAGCATTTTAGGCACTCCGACATAAAAAAATATCATTATTTTAGTGGTGACGCAAACATATTGATTTGAGAATGGAAGCTGATTTTCCATATTTGGTTGATGAGAAACTAATGAAAGGAAAACCAGCTTGATTGACCTTTATTCTGATTACTATTTCACCCAAGGAAAAAAAATAATGGCTTCTGATAGATACATTTCCTCGCTGAACTGGATTTTATATTTTCTCACTCCCTGAATGAACTTCTCAGCTTAAGTTGAAAAAACAAAGAAGGCAACCGTACAACTTTTAAGCTTTTAGCTTTTGTATCCTGCAGTTACTCAAATCTTGAGGAAACATGGTGTTGTTGGCAAGTTTGTCGAGTTTTATGGTAATTATAGTGAAGTAACTGAATTCAACGGTTAGATATCCATCATAATTGTATGTATGGCTAATTAATTTGTGTATGTTTCTAGGGGAAGGTATGGGTGAACTATCTTTGGCTGATAGGGCCACCATTGCAAACATGTCTCCTGATTATGGAGCAACCATGGGTTTCTTCCCTGTAGATCATGTTACATAGCAGTATCTGAGGTTAACTGGAAGAAGTGATCAGACAGTGAGTTCATTCCTTTTTTTTTTCTCTAGGAGGCTGGAGCTGGTGCTAGATTTTTGTGGTTTTGGATTGTAATTACATGAACTGTTCTAACTGAATTTTTTTTTTTTAAGATAAGTGTTCTCAGGTCTGATTTTAAAGGTCTTTCTTTATGATACAGCCTCAGCAAGAAAGAACGTAACTTTTTTTCATTGCCTCATGACTGGGTGGCTTTGAAAGACATGAAGGCTGATTGGCATGCATGTCTTAACAATCCAATTGGATTCAAAGTGAGTTGCAAACAATAAATTTAGTGGACTGAATACTTTTTATTGATTGGAGTATCTATGCTTCTTTATTCTAATAATTGACATCTCTATAAATTTCGTTTTTAAAACGAAGTATTCATAAATCTTTGGGGACCTTTGCTGTGAAATCTGAAATGTGTGCTTTCTCTTTGTCCTTTTTTAATGATGAAAAGTTTAGCAGTTCTTATGTTTTCAGTTTTAACAAAACTATCAATAGATGTGAAATATGAATAATCATCAATAGACATGCTACACAACTAAATAATAGTATAGATGCTTATGATTATTTGTCCCTCTTGTCACAATATAATTCTTTTGTTGACTGCAGCGTGGTCTTGTCACCAAAAAGGCCTGTGAACTGGGTTTGGAGGTTAGTTTTTTCTTCTTAAACAGATGCACTTTTTCATTTTATTTTTGGTTCCTTTGAGATGAGACGATTTGGTACAAAAATATCTAGTTGAAAAATAGATTTCTTTGATTGGTGAATTAGTCTTTGGTCATATGGATTTATAACATGTACTTTAAATTATCATACATCAGGTTAAGCCGTGAGTGAAAGCAAGTCTTGCACCAGGCTCTGGTGTTGTTACAAAGTATTTGCTCCATAGGTATGTCATAAATGTTTAGTATTCATTTAATGTTATAATATATTTCTGTATAGAAGTTACTTATGGTTCATGTTTCGGTGTCTGTACTGGTGATTAAGCCATGGGGAAGTGCAGACTTTTGGTACACCTTGAACACTAGTTGTACAACTATTATTATTACCTCTATTTGAACTTGTTGTCAATTTGATGCTTATATTGTTCTTGAACATTATGACAATTTCCTTCATCTTCTGCATTGTAAAAAGCAATACTTGAGCCATTTGTATGATATTAATTTCAGGTTTGTTTTTGAGAGTCTTGGCAAAGGGCAAGCTGCGAATGATTTTCAAGTTTGAGGGCCTCCTGTTTCGAAAGCCTTTGATGATCTTGGAAATGCTACAAAGGTATTCCTTGCCATGCAATTGTTATGTTAGCTTCTGCTATAGAAGTTATTCAATTTTCTTGGTGATAATTTGCTTTCTACCCTTTTCTCAGAGCTCTGTTCTATCACCCAGCATTCTACAGTGATGAATATGCAACCTATTCTGAAAATTTTCATTATTGAATTGATTACTTTTCATTGCTGTTTCTGCAATATTGAAAAATTTATACTCTTCAAATTTGTTTACTCATTGCAACAGTAAAATATGTACTCTATCAATTGTTCAATGTCTTATTATATATTGTTGAATGGTGATAATTGTTTGAAGGATAAATATTATGAAGAATTTCATTTGACTATTCTATAATTTAATTCGTAATAATTAAAAACTTTTACTAATTAAAAAAAAATAATAAAAGAAATCTTGACAGTCCGAAGATTGTCAATAATTTGGCTAAAATTCTAAAAAAAAAAAAAACAATGCTTGAAAATTCGGTTAAATCTTTGACAGTTCGATAATTGTTAATGATTTAGTTAATTGTCAAGGATTTGGTTAAAATTTTGCTAAATCTTTGACAGTTATTGAACTATTAAGAATCTATTAAGAAGCATTGTTTTAAAAACCGGACCGGCAAGCAACTCGCTCTGATGGTCGGGTCACGGTTCAACCGGTTAGACCGTCGATTGGATCGGTGATGTCATCACACATCATAATGACATCAGCACATTTTTAAAAAAAACCTTTTTTTTTTTTTTTTTAGATTTCTATTTTTCAATAAGACAATAACAACTTAATTACTATCCAATCCAACATGATTCAAAGTTCAAATTCAACAACAATCCTAACATAATTTAAGTATTTAACAACAATTTAAAGTCCAAATCCAAACATGATGTTGTATTTACATATTAAATGTCAAAATACATACTAATTAATAACAAAACACTTGATACAAGTATTTTTTCTTTTATCCGTCTCCATGTTGATTGAGCTTCACACACTAGCATCAAAATTCATCACCATCACCATCATCATCATCATCATAACCATCACCACCATCTACGCAAATTTAAGTAAAAAATAGAAATCATAAGTTAAAACTTGTAATTTAATTTAAATAAATACTAAGTTGCTTAAATAAAATCAAAAAACATAAATCTTTAGAATCCTATGCATAATCCAAGACAAAGCAAGTTATAATAAGAGTGATGAACCATACTAATGAATGCGCAAATTCTTTCTAGAATCTTCTACCAGTGTAATTTTCTATGAAAGAATAATATAATACTGATGCTTAACCAAATGAAATAATAGATTTACCAAGCAAATATTGAATACAAAACTGTATAGACAGAATAAAATGCATAAATCATAAAAAACACAGAACACCAGTTGCCAATCAAAGCAGTGAAGTATCCACAGGCGAAATTTGTAATCCAAAAAGGTAAAGGTCAAACAACAAAACTGATAATGAACAAACCAGTCAAAAATCCTTCGAGCTAACACACCACGGCAAAAACCACTTCTTCCACAATAATAAACCTTCCTAATTAACCAGTGTAAAGGCCAACCTCCACAGACCATCCAACAATTCTCACATAATAGCACAAATAACAAAAGCAGGTCATCGCAACATAATCAGGGAGGGTAGAATCAGTAACCAAATCCATTGGAAGCAAACAAAATGAATCCAACCACATAACAGAGGGCACAACCAATCAGTAATTGTACCAAGCAGACAAAATTTTATACTTTAGTTATTTCGTGGCAGTATGTCAAGGTTTAGGCATATGAACTATTCAATACAGGCAAGAACATCAACTAAGTTGTCAAAGTAAAGCTTAATTCTTATTCTGCAGCAACATTTAGTAAACGCTACTTTCAAGAACATCAATTATTGATTATTGAAGCTGGATCGAAAATGGCGTGTTTATTACCTGGATCAAAGAATGGAGTTGTCGTCAATGAATGGAGTTGTCGCCGTCGATTTCCAGCGATGAACGAAGCTGTCGTCGACTCGTCGTCGATTTCCGGCGAGGGAGGAAGACGTCTTCGATTTCCGGCGAGCGAGAACGATTTCAGAGGGTTCAGATGCGATTTGGGTGGGATTTTAGAGAGAAATCTTCGTAGAGAACAGACAACAGAGACGAAGCTGAAAAATTTTTGCAGAGAAAAGAGAAGAAGCTGAGAAATTTGCGTGAGAAACTGAGAGAGATGAACTGATTCAACTGAACGCGATGAGAAGAAGCGTGTATTAGGTTTAGTTTCATTTTTAATTGGACCGGTTTATCAGTCGGTCCGGTTGGACCGGCGGTTCGCTGAAAAAATCCGGTTTTTTAACGATTTAATACGGTTCATTACTTATAACGGTTTTAAGCTTAACCCGAACCGGACACGTGACCGGTTCCTGGTCCAACCGGTTAGACTGGCCGGTCCGGTCCGGCTTTTAAAACAATGTTAAGAAGTTCTTAACAGTTTGAAAACCGTCATGATCATTTCTTGACAGTCATTGTAACTCTCTTTTGACAGGTAAGGGCTTTTTTCTTGTAGTGGCGGTTGACACTGTTAGGGGTGAGCACGAATAGTAGGTCGAACCGGAATCGACATTGTGTAGGTAGGTGCCGGTTCCATTTTTTTGGAACTGACATTGTGTGATTCTGGTTTCAGTTCCTACATGGGGAGGAATCGGAATCGGAATCAGAATTTGGAAAAAAGAACTTATAGTGGATACTCGGCTTGGAACCTGCAACGAGTACTCTGTTTTGGAACCTGAGCTGAAATTAAATATCTGTGAACAATGGGAGGTTTCTTGTAAGTTTACATATAAAAAAATATAAAATGAAAAAAAGTTCATTTTTTATCATAACCTAATTAAATAAATATACAATTATACTCATTATATATTAACTACATCATATGAAAAACTTTAATATATTATAATGTATTAATATTAAAGTTGTGATAAATTAAATGTATAATTAGAATTAGGATCAATTAAAAGTGTTTTAATGTTATTAAAAGAATTATTTTTGAATAAAATAATATATTTGATTTAATAATAATATAATATTTAGTTATTTATTTCAATTATCAAGTTCTAAATATATCATTATATTATAGTTAAATGATTACTTAATTAATTATAAGTTTATAACATTCCATTAGTAATTTAGTACATTACTTAATTAAATAATTAGAAATTTAATTAATTATAACATTATATTATAGATTTATAGTATAATTACTTAATTAATTGTAACATTATATAATTGAATAATTACTTAATTAATTATTATATTATATTATAAAAATTAGTAATTTACTATATTAACATAATACTTAATTAAATGATTTTATATGTATATTTATTATTTGTTTAAGGATATAATTATATTTAGGTATAAGGTGTGTGAAAGGTGTAAATAACAGAAACCCATAAGTAGGTTTTTCACATAGGCACAACATTGAATAAAAATAAACTAGTATTAATTAGTTAAGCATGAGATGCTCTGACATAAATAAAACTCCATATTCAATTGTGCCTTACGGAGTTTCGAACTTGGTGCGTTCTCTCCACTTGGCAGTCTCAATCGCAATTTTTATTTATGCTTTTAAAATTATAAATTACAACGAAAAACAATGACACATACAATAATAAGATAAAGTATTGAACATCAACATCTATCTGCGTGGAAAGTTACAATCAGAGTCAGAGTCTTCCGTGGGGCTTAGAAATAGAATTATTACAATATGGAAAGTTTGGAAAAAAAATTTAAAAAAAAAAAAAAAAAAGGGTGAGACAATTGTGGATTGGCCCCACCCAACTCTGAGTGTCTCCGCCATCATCAGAGGTTTCTCTAAACAATAATTTACTCCAGCTACTAATTTTTTGAGATTCATAAATTTTGAAGATGAAGTTGAAGTTGAACCACTTAACTTATTTGATATTTTCCTTCACAACGCCTTCGATAAATTCTGCTTCAGGACTGCAAAATAATCGATTAAAGTTCATTATATTTACACTAATCAATAACAAGTTGCATGTATATTATACTGAATTGAGCCAAATCAAATTAATAAACCACAAGGAATTAAAATCACTTAAAACCCCCTCCCCACAATTACTTCCTCATCTCATCCCAAAATACAATTTAATTCTCATTTCCTGCTAATTTTGCTAACCATATCACTAAACAATACATAAATATCACATTTACACCTCCTATATATCATGCATCATTGCCGGAATCTGACAAGTTGGGTTGATTGGGGGGGGGGGGGGGGGTGTGTTTGTTAATTTTTTAAAAAAAATTCAGGGGGCATTTACACCCCAAAATTCCTGAAGTTTTAATTTTTTACATTTATACCCCCAAAATCAACTACTCTAAATTTAATTTAGAGTAACACTAGCCTTACAGAGAGACATATAAAGAGTCATACAAGGAGACAATCCCCACCCTTAAAATTCATGATTGCCTCTTTTTTCCTTCTTTTAAGGGTAGGGATTATCTTTTTGTATGCCTCTTTGTAAGGACAGTGTTACTCTTTAATTTAATTTAGAATATAAACAAATAGAAACCAAAATAAACAAATAACACATAAACAAACATAATAAGTCAATAACATATAATACAAAACTATAAATACCAACCAAAATAAACAAACAAAACAATCAAGTCAATAACATATAATACAAAACTACAAAATATCAACCAAAATAAACAAATATATAATCACTAATACACATAAACAAATACAATAAGTCAATAACATAAAATACGAAACTACAAATACCAATTAAAATAAACAAATACATATTAAATGTTCAACAAAAAATATTCTTGGGCAGCAAATATTCATCCCACAGTGGGGGTGATAGAGTCTTTTGATTCCATAGTCTTAAGATTAGTTAATGGCACATCAAGATCATCATCTGAATCATTATTCACATCATTATCTACAAAACAATGATCAACTACAAATATTAATAAATATAAATAATAAAGTATATAAAATATAATGTTAACATGTTACCTATAAACTACAAGACAGTGACTAATGTTCGCTTCCCTGAGTGAAAACAAACTAATACAAAGCTAGCCCAAAACCCACTCCCAATTAAGATGAATAAAGAAAAATGAGAAGTCCTTAAATTCCGTTGAAACTGAAGCCCAAATAATTAGCAAGAACACAAATAATTAGCAAGAACACAGAAAAAACAAGGGATTTTGGACTTTACAAAAAGTCTCTAAATAAATCTGTGCTGAAATACATTCT